ACAATGGAGACCATAGGTAGGGTTTAGGGTTTAGGGTTTAGGCTTTAGGGTTTAGGGTTAAAGTAGAAGGGACTGCCGCTCCCCGAAAGCTAGAGCTCTAAGACTCATTGGGAAACCGAGGCACGGTTGAGGTTTGGGGGTTCAGGGGCTTAGGGTTTAGGGCTTCGGGGCACTGCACTACTGTAGACCCTAGACCCTAGCCCCCAATAGAGCCACGCAGCTTAAGCCTGAGACCCTAGAAACCCTAAACCCTAAACCTTAAACCCTAAACCCTAAAACCTAAACCCTAAACCCTAAACCCTAAACCCTAAACCTTAACCCTCAACCTTAGAGCCCGAACGCCCCAGGTGCTGGCGTCCTTCTGCTCCGAACATCAACTGGAGCCGGGTTCTCGCTTGCCGAAGTGTTCGGTTCGGGACTGTAGGATTTGGGGCTTGGGGTTGGGGTTTAGGATTTGGGGTTTAGGGTTTAAGATCTGGGATTTGGCGTTTAGGGTTTAGGATTTGGGATTTGGGGTTTAGGGTTTAGGATCTGGGGTTTAGGGTTCAGGGCTAGGTCGGTGCAAATTCTACCGCGGGTGAGGGTCGAGGCCTCTTCAGCAATTGGGTTCACGGGGAGTGTTCCCCATAGAAGCCACCCCCCCCAAACACCTAATTAGATTATAGAAGTCTCAGAACCCATGTAGGAGAGGATTCTCATCGACCCTGTTCTATGAAACCCTTCTAGTATAAAATTCTTCTCAGTTTGTTCAAAAATGAGGCCTATTTGTGGGATACTGCCCCCACCCAGTAACATTTGAAGCAGGTTTAAACCGTAGATTTATAAGGCCCTGAATAGTAGCCCTAGACTGTTACTGGGTGAGGGCAGGACCCAACCTATTTGAACCCTAAACCCTTAAACCCTATCCAAAATGCCTCGTTGAGGAAAGGGAAGCATGCCATGATTTAAGGGGAGCCTCTACTTCGGAAAGCCTGCCTGTACGTTTAGGTTTAAGGAAGGGTTCACCTGTAGCCGGAAGGGCAAACCTTATTATGGTTTCTATGCAGAGTTCCTGAAACAGGTAGGTCTTTTCGGTTACAGGTAGGGTCTGTGGGTTTAGGGTTTGGCTTTCAGGGTTTGAGGTTTGGGGGGTCGAGGGGTTAGAGTCCCTAGCGCTGAGATTCTAGAGTTCCTACACGGTTGAAATCTGTTCAGGGTTTAGGGGTTAGGGTTTTAGGTTTAGGGTTTAGGGTTTAAAAGTTTATCTAAGTTAATGTTGAGGAGAAGGAGTTTTGTTGGATGAAGGGTTAAAGGGTGCAGCAAGCGTTATAGGGCTTTGGAGTCTTGCGCCGCTGCTTCGGCTGCTGCATGCAGCATCCAGCAGCCTGCAAGCTGGGCTTCGTGACCTATGCAGGCACCCAGCAGTAGTTTCTCCCAGAAGTCGTCCAGGGAGTTGCCCCATACAACGGGCATGGACATCTTCGACCCCGAGAGTCATGCGACCCAGGTCCAGCTGGGAGACCGAACCCAAGTCCAGCTACTGGCAGCGTGATGGGCCTGACAATGGCGACCAGGACGAGGATTCGGTGGCGTGGTCCTGAGTCCTTGGTGGACCTCGTCTGACACGTCGCGTGAACGATCATCTTCCGTCTTCCGATGGAAAAAGTGGGCTTTGCGGCGTCTGCATTGGTCCGTCATTCGGAACCGCTTCCCTTCCCTCAAGATGGGTTTTGCTGAGATCCCACAGTGCTGGCCCTGAAAGCAGGGCAATAGTATAATCAGGGTTTAGGGTTTAGGGTAGAATATTAGTATAGTGAAATATAGTGTAGTACAGTAGAGCAGTATGGCATAGCATAGCATAGAACGGCATGTTAGGTATAGTATGGTAAAGGGAGATTGTAAGACTCCACAACCCTGCATTGAAAGGTGATCTGCCAGGCCCCAGGAATCCCCCTAAACCCTAAACCCTACACCCTAGCTAAGGAGCCCGAGGGATCCTAAACCCTCAACCCTGACGAAGGATCCTTTAGCATCCCAAACCCTAAGCCGTAAACCCTAACTGAGGATCCCTAAGGATCTCAGACCCTGACCCCTAAACCCTAGCTGAGATGCCTTAGGGATCCTAAACCCTAAACACGAACTAAGGTTCCTTGAGGATCCCAAACCCTAAACCCAAACTAAGGATCCTTAAGGATGCTAAACCCTAAATCCCAAACCCTAACTAAGGATCTTTAAGGATCTTAAACCATAAACCCTAAACAGGATCCTACACCCTAAACCCTAAACCCCAACTAAGGATCCCTAAGCATCCTAAGCCTTAAACCATGACTAAGGATCCTCCGGGGATCCTAAACCCTAAACCCAAGCCTCCCTGAACATCCCAGAGAGCCATTTTGTGTTCATCCCTGAACCCTAAGCCCTAAACCCTAAACCCTAAACCCTAAACCCCAAACCCTTAACCCCAAACCCTTAACCCTAAACCCTAAACCCTAAACCCGAGGCCCGGACCTGCTTCCGTCCTTCTCGGCGAGTTGGGTCTCGCAGGCGGAGGCCCAAAACGGGGAGGGAGTGCATCGACACGTGGGTAGTTGTCAAAATTATGGTCCCTTTTGGGGTACCTTAAATAATAGGTGCCGTATTATAATAAGGACCCAAAAAGGGACCCTAATTTTGACAACTACCCCCGTGGAGGGTTTTGAGGTTTGGCCCTAAACCCTAAGCCCTAAGCTAATTAGGGTGTAGGCGGTTTTGCGGTTTGGGGTGAGAGCTGAAGATTCGTGGTTAGGTGTTGGTTTGGGGTTCAGGGGTTACGGGTCTGGTTTGGAGGTTTAGCTGCATGCACAGCCGCGAAACATGATTGTGCCAAGCAATCGTGCCAGGCCATCCGCCAGCAGCTTAAACTAAATGCGTAGTTTTCTAAGTTAGGGTCCCTGTCTTTTTAGGTCCCGAATATGGTACGGCCCCCTTATGAAAAAGGATTAAAAGGGACCCCTAATTTGGAGAACTACCCAAACCCCACCATGGAGCTGGAGGCTTGCTGTGATGGGCCGTCAAGGGGTTGCGCGTGCATCTGCTGCTGCATCAGCCAGCCCTGAATTCGCTTGAACACTAGACTCACTACACCCCTAAGAATCCCAAGCTCCAAAATCTACTCCCTGGAAGCCCTAAACCTGAAACGCTGCAGCCTAACGCTGGGCTAAAGCGATGATTCTTTCGTGTACTCTAGCCTATTGAGAAGGGACATCTGTTCTGAACGGCCTTTAAGGGGAACGCAGATTCGGCGTTCAGTCAAAAACCCCTTGCCACAAGTTGTTTGAGCTCTAGACCCTTGCAGTTTAACCCTTATGGAACCCTCAAGACATGTGAACATTTTCATGGAGCCCTTATAAAACTTGCAAAAAAACTTCCTAGGACCCTTTAACACCAGAGAATAAACTAATAAGCTTCATTGAAGGCCGAATCAAGCCCTCATGGGAACCCCTGCTCCAAGGCAACCAAGTCACAGCACATCTTTGCCCAAGGGTCCTAGCACCGTAGAACCATATACTCTCCCAAATGGGGAGTTGTCCAAATTAGGGTCCCTTTTTTGGGTCCTTCTTATAAGGGTGCCGTACTATATTGGGGACCAAAAAACGGGACCCTAATCTTGAGAACTACTCAAATGTTAACCTGCATAACTACTATACTAAGCCCATGTAGCTTCATATTGGGTCCTTTTATCCTGTAGCCCATGTACCTTTTATATGGGGGCGCTTTGGACCCTAAAGTTTGCAGCCTTCGAAGGGCACACGGCCGGCAACCTCGACACGTTGGATTGAGACGCAGAGGCTCCGGTCTTCTTGGTGGCAAGGCTTGATGTTTGGGGCGTTTAAGGTTTAGGGTCTAGGGTTTAGGGTTTGAGGTGAAGGGTAACCCCAACATCAACCCGAAACCCTATAACCCTGAAAGGCTCTGGCGTTTCCGAAAGTTTAGTCAGCTGTTGGCAGCTGAGCACAGCTTTGCCGGAGCGATAAGACAGAAGCTGCGGCGGAAGGACATGCAGCTTTCTACATTATCAAAGTATATGGGGCCATCAAGCTACCATGGCTTGTAGTCCATGTTTGGCAAGATTACTTATGCCCAAGAGGACGTCATTAAGCCTCCCCCCACCCCCCCAACCCGATCCGAAATGTGTTTAAACCCTCTTCATGATCATCATCAGCATCCTCAGCATGATCATCTGCTTCCCCAAACATCCTAAGAAGGTGGGTCCAGAACTTTGGATGTTTGGAGGCAAACGGATGTTATCAAACCACAGAAGAAGTCTCGACACAGCGTCTCTGAAGCAGAACGCGCCGTCACACACCCGGCGTTGTCACCTACAATGTACCCCCCCCCCCCAAAAAAAA